AAAAAAAAAAAAAGTATCAGCACCAAGATACTTATTACTTGTAAAAAGGAAACACAGTAACTTCACCATGAACAAACAAGCAACTTCAGAAAGGGAACACACCCCCACCATGTGCCCCTTGACAGGATGCAACACTGGGTTCTCAGTAACCAGCAGAACAGAAAAACAATAGGGTATAGAACATTTGGGCAAATCAACTATCTTGGCTCAACTGAAATTTACAGAGCACTCCATCCAGCAAGGCACAGTATCATTCTTTTCAACCAGACAAAATATATCAGGTTGGTCTTGTGCGCTGCCAAAACATGTGTCAATATAGTAAGAGACTTGAAATCACATAAAGGCTCTCTGACCACAAAAGAACTAGAAACCAGTAACAGAAAAATATCTGGAAAAAACATCAAACACATAAAAACTAAACACACTCATAGAAAAAAAAATCACAGGCATTATCAACAAATATTTTGAATTGAATAAAAAATGAAAATACAAGATATGAAAATAAGTATGCAACTACAGTACTGCAGATGAAAAAATGTATGGCATTATAAAGGTCTATAATCAACACTCTGAGCTTAGGCCTTACAACGTCAGATGAGATTAAACCCAAAGTAAAGCAGAAAAAAAGAAATAATAAACATAAATCAATGAAATAAAAAGCAAAAGGTAAAAGAATACAATCACAAGATTCAAACAATACAGGCTGGCTATCATGGTTCATCCTTGAAAATCCTAGCACTCTGGGAGGCTGAGGCAGGAGGAATGCTTGAGCCTAGGAGTTCAAGGCTGCTGTAAGCTATGATTGTACCTTTGCACTCCAACCTGGGTGAGAGTGAGGCCCCCCTCCCAAAAAAAGAGAAAAAGGAAAAACACTGGGAACAGCTTTATGCCAATAAATGTAACAACTTAAGAGATTTTTGTAGAAGACAAATTTTCAAAGGTAATTATAAAACAGGAAAAATTGAATATTTTCACAACTACTAAAAAGTTTAACTCTTAAATTAAAAAATTTCCCATAAAGAAGACTCCAGTCCTAGATGGCTTCACTGGTGAATTCTATCAAATATTTAAAGGAAGAAATAACAGCAATACTAAAAAAATACTCTTAAAGATAAAACACTTCCCAGCTCATTTTATGAATTAGCATTATCCTGATAGCAAAGTCCTTACATGAACAAGTTATTGAGAAGGCTGGAGGATAAGATACTCTGATTAATAAGTTTTCCTTCAACTTTCTTTTTTCTGTGAAAAATATCTAATATGTATTAAGTCCTCCTCTTCCTTCAAAAGTAGAGAATATTCTATTCAACATCACAAACCTGCCTTAGCCTCCCAAGTAGCTGGGACTACAGGTGTGCAACTGCGCCCAGCTTTCTTCC